AACTCAATTGTGTTTTAATTCGGCCGTGCGGTCGTTTCAGACTGAGGGGCGAGTGAGGTTTCGCTTAGGAAAATAAAGGAAGAGAGAGGGACGGATGAAAGGAGATGTCTACAAGATGTCTGCAGGGGGGCAAAAATAAATACTTTTTAAAGCAGGCTAAACACAATACAACACGGCACCTCTTGCCTTCCCACCTGGAATCGTAAGACAGGCTGGTGGTCGCTGAACCAGACGTGCTGACGGCGTCGGTGGAATCCACGTCGGAAAGGAAAGTGTGGCTCGAGCTTGTACTAGAAAGAAGGACAAGGAGAGGGGAACAGAGGTCAGCTGGCTTTAAAACCCAAACCAGAGTTTGCTAGCTGGCTAGGGGATTAAGGGAGACAGCTGGGGAACTCAGCAATTGAGGTCTTTGGCCCCAGAGCCAGAAGTTAGGAGTCTGAATCTCCCTCCTGGGAGAACAGCCAGCCTAGGTGGTCTTGGGCCAGCTGCACATACTCAGAAGAAGGGAAAGGGGGAAATGTATTTCTGAGTCTTCTCGGCCTGGGAAACCTTGGAAAGGGTCACCAGAAGTCAGCGCTGACTTGACAGTGCAGGATTATCGTTACTCTCAGGCCAAAAAAATGGAGACTCGGGTCTAACGGTGGCTTTACCAGCCGTTACCTTTTAAGACTCTGGATTTCGTCCAGAGAGAAATCAAAGATGCTGGCCAGGTGGTGGTTCGTGCTCCAAGCCGAAGCGAAATCGCTCTGCAAGTCGGAAAAGGGGGAAAGGAAAGGAGAGAGAGAGAGAGAAAAAGGTTGATCATGAAACATCCTCCAATGGTGTAAAGCACGCGCAAACGAGAAACATCTCCCTCTGAGTCAGGCCCCTACTCTCCATCTTGGGTCTGATTTAGACTACTGAAAGCATCAGGCCAAATGTTTGGGCACCCGGGCCTTTTTCCCCCTCCTGCCCTTGCCCATTTTTGGTCCAATAAAAGGATGATCTCCAACCCACGAGTGTCCATGGCAGAGTGGGGGATTCGAACTCAGGCCTCCCCAGCAGAGATGGGCACAAACCAATTTGTCCCAGTTCTGAGTGTCCTGTAACCTTATCACAGGTCCAACAGATCCTGCGAAAAGCCGCCTATAGCTTCTGGGTCAAAGGCACTCCAGAACGTCTGGTTTGAAGCCCAAAAGCCTGAAGAATAGTGCCAGTGACATCAGCCAGTCAACAAAAGATCACAAAAACTAACACTGGGAATGGCGTCCTCCAAAAGGAATTTCGATCTTTTCCGCCTCCTTTCTTGGTGGAGCTCACAGGGCACTGAACTGCGGAAGAAAACAAAATCGGAAGTCATCCCTTCAAAATGCATCCAGTTAATCATGATAATTATGTGCCGTCAAGTCAGTTTTGACTTATGGAGACTCTTCTTGGGGGTTTTCCAGGCAAAGAAGACTCAGAAGTGGTTCCCCCTTTCACCGGTGACTCCCATTTCAGAGGGGCTGTGAATCCATTCCGGGTTTTGCTGTGCTTTTCCCAAGAATTCCCCAAGTGATTCAATCAGGGAGGTTCAGCACTATGGACAGCGACAATCAAAGTGGAGAGTAAAACCTGGAGTGGAGTCCCCAGCTACCTTAGTGCAAGTCTCAGCAATGGGGCCTGGCTGATTGCTGCCCCACAAGGGTTCCAAATGATGATCCCTGGTTCTAGAAAGGAAGATAGTGCCAGCTTGGGGGGGGGCTGCTCTGGGATGCTTTATATAAGCCCTTCCACAAATACACAGCTTAGTGTAGTCATCAGAGAACATCATCCTATCTATGGCCCTTGAGATGTTTTAGAAGCCAACCCCTAACAACCCTGATCATTGCCCCTGGAAGATGCGGGATTATGGGAGTTGTAGTCCAAAATGTTTGGACATCTTCCAGTGGGGAAAAGCAGGTTAGACCGTTGGACTCTGACCTTCTCATCCCTACGCACTGGGTACCTCGGATTAGTTACCATCTGCCAGCCTACCTTGCAGGGGTGTTCTGAGGATAAAGTGGGAGAAGCCATTTTGAAGGAAGGGTGGGATATGAATATAAGGAATAAACAAAGAGGTGCAGCTGAGAGCATCACCCTGCACAAGTGCAGACCTGCTTTGAGAGGAATACTTAAGTCTTCCTCTTTTCTTTGGCGCAGATGCTCTACCATTGACCAGTCCTGGGACCTTCTCAGGCAGGAGCTTGCTTGGTGGGTTGGGCGGGACCCGGATCCGCAGGCGGAAAATGCATTTCTTCTTCTTGATTTCCTTCCCGCATAGAAACCTGAAACACAGGCGAAAGTCAAACCAGAATGTGCAAACTTGTAGTTGCTGCATCCTTGGGGTGAGACTAGATGATCTTTGAGACCCTTTCCCACTCTAGAACTCAGTCAAACAGGGAAAGCTCCCTCAAATGCAGTGTGTGAACCACAGCCTTGTGGATGAGAAAGCCCCATGAAAAAAGGGAATACTTGAAGCCTTTTTAAGGGCTACAGTGCTTTGAATTAAAAGCTTCCTGTTTGGGGGAGCTTGATTCAAAGGGAATACTTGAAGCCTTTTTAAGGGCTACAGTGCTTTGAATTAAAAGCTTCCTGTTTGGGGGAGCTTGATTCAAAGGGAATACTTGAAGCCTTTTTAAGGGCTACAGTGCTTTGAATTAAAAGCTTCCTGTTTGGTGGAGCTTGATTCAAAGGGACAACTTGAAGCCTTTTGAAGTCTACAGTGCTTTGAATTAAAAGCTTCCTGTTTGGGGAGCTTGATTCAAAGGGAATACTTGAAGCCTTTTTAAGGGCTACAGTGCTTTGAATTAAAAGCTTCCTGTTCGGAAGTTTAGACTGTTCGCAAGGGGGATTCGTGATACATTGTCCCACGTTATCCAGTTTCTCCTCCCTGCTTGGGCTCACAAAAGTTTTTTTTAAAAATTATTTCCATCTCAGAAACGGACAACAATGGTGGTGGTGGGGAACCTTTTAAGCTCACCTGCTTTTGTAGCTGTTTAGTGCATCCAGAAGGTGAGGTCCTCGTTCTGCCACAGGGGTTCCAGTCAACTAGAAGGAAGTATTGTACACATTAACAACGTCAAGTCAGATTTGAGAAAAAGCATAACAACATCCATGTCTAGCCAGGTCAATGGTCCACCCTGTACAGTCCTGCATGTTTCTCATTTTGATTTGTTTTGCACCTCTTATTCAGGATAGACTGCCCTTTGTACAGGAGGTGCAATTGGCCTACAGGGGCTACTTATAGAAGGTAAGCATTGGTCTGCTGCTGAGGACACTGGCTTCACTGCCCTAACAACACCACAATCGCCAATGGCCCAAAGCCTTTGGAATATGAAAATGCAAAACTTTGAATGTTTCCTCCTTGAAGGGCAAGATTGCAAGTTTATTTGTTTTTATTAAATTTTACATTCAATTCACTGCCATGAATTTTGCCCATTAAGGCCTCTATTTTCCACAAAAACCTTACATGTCTGCGCAAAAATTTGAGAATTTTAGCACAAATGACGAGTTTGCCACACAAAACCTACGGTTTTGTTTTTGGCTGTTGGATTGTTGTTGTTGTTGTTGTTTGCAGCTGCTGCCCCCAATAAAGAAAAGGCACTCATCTTTTCCTTCTCGTGCAGGATCCCAAATCTTGCATGTCCTTGGTCTACGAATCTCATTGCCCATATTTTCAGTGAAGTGTCTCAATGTGTCAAAACCCTCTTTTTTTTAAAGAGCACAGCAAAAATTGCAAAAAAAATTCAGCGAGCCCTCAATAGGGAATACTTCTCCATATTTCCCGTTATATTGTCACGCAATTATTTTAGTATTTGCGGTTAGTGTTCATTCTTATTTTATTCTCAGTGGAAAAAAATAATTTCTCGAAGTGCACTTTGTATTCTTCAGAGTGATTATTCACCAACGGCCAGAAGGGGGAACCCACGCTACAGCTCTTAAACTTTGCTAACTCTTCTCCACCGAACACACATTCTGAACACAAAATGCACTGTCTCTTTAAGGCAAGCATAAATGTACTCTCCCTTTAAGGCTGGGTGGCAGCAATTCTGGGTTGGGGGGATTAAAGAAGGGCAATTTACTACCCTTAGGAATTTTTAGGAGGCCACAAAAACATGTCCAGAAGAAAACAATACTGCTGGAACTTTTACCTGTGATTTTGGAAAAAAAATTGATTTTCAAAAAAATATTTACAGTGGTGCCTCGCTAGACAATTACAATCCGTTCCACTGAAATCGCTGTTTAGAGAAATCATCATCTAGCGAAAAGCATTTCTCCCATTGGAATGCATGGAAACCTGTTTAATGCGTTCCAATGGGGAAGAATCGTCATTGTCTAGCAAAGATCGGCCATAGGAAAGCCGCTTTGCGAACCGCCGATCAGCTGTTTAAATCGCTGTCTTGCGAAGCTTAGGTCCCGAAAACACCTGTTTTGTTTGTTTATGGGTTTTAAGAGAAAAATGGTGATTTTATGGGGGGCACAATTTTCCCCAAAGGGGGTTCCCAGGAGGGCTGGAGGCTGGAAAAACCAGCTTTGCTTGGGGCCAGTTTTGGCCCCTCCGGCTGCACAGTCACCGACTCCCTTGCTTCCAGGATTTCCACCTTCCTCTGCTTACCTTGCCGAGCTGCAAAAGGTCCCAGTGGTGATTGACAAAGGCTAAGATCTCTTCAAAGTCGAAGTATTTCTTCTTGCTTTGCACGCCCAGGTTGTACAGTGCAAGGTGAACTACGTCGACCCTGTACGGTGGGGCCAAGAACGGAGGAAAGGAGACTGAGATTTATCTGGGTCAAGAATTTGTAGGAAAGAGTCATGTTCTCGGGTGCCCTCAGGTCCATATTTTGAGGCCAATGCCCAAAGCCTTGCTTTGCAAAATGAACGAGAAGCTCCAGAAATTTAGCATCACGGTTGAGTTACCACATTTGAGTTAAATAAGTTAGTAAGTTCATCCATCTTCTGGTTGCAGAAGATGGTTGCCTAGCTGACTTCAAAATCTGGTTTGTCAGTAGAGAGACAAGCCAGCTTTAGGGGCTTAGGTGTAACGGCAGGCATCCCTAACATATCTTGGACCAATCGAGAAGCAGAAGGGTGAAATTCTGAACAGGAAGGACTTTG